ACACATCCAGAGTTTTCCAAGCACCAAGTGCAATTGTTTGTCTAGGATTAGGAGAACACAAAGGCGCTGTCCTAGCAATTTCTTTGCAGACGATGTTTTTTTTTTTTTTCACATTTTTCAACCAGTTAAGTGTCGAAATTTAGAGTTCTTGCACTTGATTTGTTGCTTTTCCGATGCACTTTGTGCACAGCTTAAGTGAATTTGGTATCCTTTTGCCCTTTCATTACTCGTCTTCGAGATGATTCCGACCCCTGCAGTTGCAACGTTGTGACTCGTCACTGTTTGAGCATACCAATGTTTTCAACAAAAAGTGCCACAAAGAATAATTCAGGTACTGCATCGGACATGGATGCCAGTTCGTTGGATGTCAAAGGAAGCGATTCAGTACGGTCGATTCAGTGAAGCAAGCGACGTGTGGTCGTTTGGTGTAACACTGTGGGAAATTTACTCATATGGAAGACAACCCTATGAGGGATACGCACATCAAGACGTCATCGAGCTGATCTCTGTGCGTAGTCTTCTTGAGTGCCCGCAGAACTGCCCCACCAATATATACAGGTACGTGCTGATTCATGTGCAAAATGATTTCAGAACTGATGAAGGGAAAAAGTATGCTGAGTGGCGCATACTGCTAATCCCTCTTTGTATTAAACATTAATGCAGCCGAAAATTGGCGAAATATGAGAGGAATAATGAATAAAAAATTTGACTGATAGCTAAATCGAGGTACTCGACCGCACACACCGATTAACAAATGATAGCACAGTCTGTATTTTATCCCTTAGCCGTAAACACAGCCAAATCTACAGATGCGGGCAGAACTGGGAATCATCACTGTAGCCTCCTACCCACCGTGTATAGGATGTGCAAATGGCTCAGTTCTTGATGCCAGAATAAGGGGAAGATTTGAATGATACAAGGAGAGAAAAAACTTGAAAAGCAACTGAGTTGTAGGGGCCAGGAGAATTTTTTTTTTTTAAATATCAAAATTAGAACACGAAAGCTCTTAAGTACTTTCCAAAATAAGTGAGTTAAAATTCGTTTGCAAGTAATGAAGCACTCTGCTGAGGTGTCATTCTTTCAGCTTAATGGTTGAATGTTGGCATGAGCACACAGAGCGACGACCTACGTTTAGTGAGCTGTACTCACGTCTTCAAACCTGGTCGCTTACAAGTCCATCGCAATCCGTTCTTTCGCATCAACAAAATCATCCAAGCAGTTCACACTCCGGTATCTTATTTTACCTACACTTTTTACAGTATATTATTTGTCACCGACCATCAGCTCTAACCTGAAGAAAAGCGATTTATGATAAAACTGCTGACACTGCTAAGTACTGCGCATGACTGCTTTCTCCAAGAGCAGTAAATAGCGACGTGCCCAAGCGACATTACTGCTTCACTGCTGCACATGGGCAGAAAACATCATTCTGAAACTTGAGCTTTCTGTCTTGTCTGGTTTCCGAGGCTTTCTGCCTTGTCTGTTTCTTAATATCCCAGATACCTGACTTGTCTGGCCTATGATTCAGAACATACCCCACCCAAATCTTCTACATGCTCGCATGTGGAACACTAGACATGCGCGGAAGCAAAATTCGAATTTCCGAAGTCGCAAACGGATAGAAAACATCATTTCTTGCCACTATTTCCACCCGCCTATACGTGAAATGTAGGCTTGTATGGAAGTTTGATTTGTACATCCGCGAAGCATGAAGCACCTTCGTAAAATTCTAGCTTTTCCTGTTGTCTAATTCCCAGCTTGAAAAGTTCTCGTTATAACTTCCCGATCGGTGTATTTACACCCAGACGTGATTGAAAGTTGAATTTAAATTTGCAGCGTTGCTGCACATTGCAGTGCTGTGAATTTTTCAGCTTCCGGACTTTTCTAATTGATCAGTTGATTCCTGGGCACAAACACCTACGCATAAACACATACACATATACACACATACACACAAAAGCTTTACACGGTAGTCTAGGCAATTTTTAAAAAAATTTTTTGCCAGTTTAAATTACAGTTAGCCAATTTTTTCTTTTTTTTAGTTTAATAGAAATTTAAATGAATAGGCTCGAGTGCAGCAGCAAATCGGGGCAGCAAGCAGTCATCGTCGACACCTTCGGTGAGCCTTCGTCGTGGCGGAGCAGCTGGCAGCACGTCAGTTGGTACAGGACCTAGCATCAGTACAAACGCATTCTCAGTGCCATCGCCGGCTCCGATGCAAACAATGATGACACTGAACGGCGTGCATCCATATCAAGTTGGTGCGGTAAATACTCATTCAGTTGTTATGCGTTTTTGCTGTGCAGCGCTATAGCGCTGCTACAGCCAG